GAACACAAAAATATAAGCCGCTACCTAACCGAAAGAAATCACAAAAATTTGACACCAAATTTGACTCCATCAAGTGGAGAATAACGGCTCCCAAACAGGAGAATAAGAACACAAAAAACATAATAAAACACAGAAAAAAAACATAATAAAACTAAATAATTTACCTGATCATAATTCAAAACCTCTTCTGATGCATGATCATAGGCCGCTATAGTCCCAACCGGCTGGCCACGGAAGTGCACCAGAGATCTTCGGAGGGACTCCCAAGCATCTGCAACCATTGGATGCGGCTCGAAAGAGTTCCTGGCAGACGAAGCTGGTGTGTCGAGTACTGACCTTCCAGGTGAATACGAACTTTCGTAATATTCCAAGCCTCTCGATATACCAATCGACAACTCACTAAGTGACCTCTCGTCGAACGATCTCTTCCGCTCGATGTTCAGTCTCGGCTTATCGAGCAGCTTCGAGAGGTCATAATCGTCCATCTCGGATATTGACTGGTGGGAGCTCACGTTTTTGAGCCCAAACTCTTTTGGGCCATCGAGAACAACCTTATAAATGCCATCCATGATCGGTTTTTCAATTTTCAATCTGTATCGCCGTGAAAATATTCATTTAATATCAGATTATAATGAAACAACACAAAAAAGGCATGTGCATTATTACATGCTCAGTAAAGAGTATTTACAAGAAAAATCTAACTGCCGTTTATGGAAAGAACTTCCCTTCCATTGTAAAGTACTTCTTTTTTTTTTCTACAAGAAGGCATGCACATTACATTCTCAGCAAAGGTTATGTACAAAAAAATATCGAACTGTCAGCTATAGAAAAGACTTCCTTTCCATTGTAAACTCGATCTTCTTACAAATCAAGAAGCCAATGAGAATGAGGCCAAACTATTATAGAGATATGAATAAACTTTGCGTCTAAAATACTTAGCATTGTCATTTGTGAAGTATGAATAGAAGCTACATGGGCACGGAAGGTTAAACATTGTGCATACCGTAAATGATCAAAATATCACATGCCGATGGAGAAATAAAGAAGTGCGTATCATCATATATGGTAAACGAAAATGACTATTGAAATATTTATGGTTATCCATGAAGATAAATTGATTAGAAACAGACTCAAAGATCTAATCTTTGAAACCCCCAATTTTTCAGGGGTGAAACGGAGATTGAGGGGCATGTATTATACAAGACGAGTAGAAAGTAAAATTAACATAGACAGGCCATATGAGGTACCACACTGTTAAATTTGTGCAGTCAAAACTTTCAAATGGCGAAAAA